ATACATATCTTAAAGAAGTTTAATTATGTTAAGAAAGGGTGTTCCAATATGGATATTGTAACAAATTGATAAATATTAGAATGTTTTCCTGTCTCCCATAGGATATACAAGGAGATTGTGCACTTCAACAATTTGAGCTTCACCTATAAGCTTAATCCAGTGGTACATGGGCTATTACACAATGATAGAAACCCACATGATGTTTACAGTTCAAGCATTTATTCTATACATATACAGGACCACTCACTCAACACAATGTTGAAATGCATTGGTGAAACCACGCAGAACATCAATAGTAGAGAAGGAACATATATGGATTGTGAAGAAAGATCTACAAACACTGCTCTAGTGGCATATACTAAGTAATCTAGTGCAGAGAATATTTGGGACAACTCTACAATCATAAGAAAGCAAATGGCAAGGTTAGCTTAAAGCATTTGGAAATCCTTGAAATTTACAAAGTACACAAAGAGCAAAGATGTGTTAATGTCTGGGATGCAAATCCATTGTATACTGCTTGGAAATCTTTATATGAAACATAACATCATACAACATCTAACATGTTTAATTAGCAAGCTGAATAAGGCGTACATTTAAGTATTTTTAGGTATTTTAAATCTTCTGAAACTGTGTTTCTTAATTTCTTTAATACACTAACACTATGTGTGTTTCTATTTCAACTGCCAAGTGTTAAAATAGAAACACAGCTAATGTTAGTAAATCAAAAAAATATTTTTAGGTAGTTTTGGTTCCATTTTCATCTCCAATTTTTGATTGTTTTAGAACTTTTATCTTTCAGTTACTCATTTAAATGGTACAGGTTCTGTTCTTTCAAATTTTTCCACATTCCACAAGGAGAGGTCAGGGCTGAAATTGGATGCCTTATGTGAGATCCGAATAGCCTGGGTCTAATTAACAATTTAAATATAAAGTTAAAATAATGAAGTAATATATTCTTTCCTTTCGGTGTGAAAATATCGTCTTTCTAATGTGGGAAAACTGATAAAAGAGCCACTTCCTTTAATAGAAGTAGACACATCCTTTTGTTTCCCACTTATCTATCACAAATCTCACCACCTTGGGAATTGTCAACCCCTCAATAATTCCCCTTTTCATCCGTTCATGTGAGTGAATACAAATAAGCTAATTGGTCACAAATCATGAGGTATAGTCAAAAATCTACATGATTTGAGAAGTACGTCTGAAGAACTCATAGGGAAAGGAGGTATCCCATATTTGCTCCATAAGGCCAATGCCCTTAGTTGTATCCAATCGAGTATAATAATGAGTTAATTTAGGAGAAAAGAAGAAACTTTTAATATTGTGCCAAATCAAGACCTCTCCATGAAGTGAAGTATGATCATAGAATACAGATGAACATAAAGACAAAGTAAACCTTGAGGTAGTATTGTTGTAAATGAATTTGTGAGCTCTCTCTTAGCGTATATTTTAATTGAATCCATATTTTCTCTCAATTGCTTGTTTGAATTATTTAATTATATCAATTTTGTATACTTTTGTTTATTATAGTTTATTAAATTCTTTTATTTGTGTGTTAAAGAAATGTCTCATCTTTGTCTGAATCAAATCCATATTATCTCCATACGCGTGTTAATCTGCGTATCTAAATTCGATTAACTGGTGTCGGGATCCTGACGTAGGAATGAAGAATTGTGAAATCCTTCAGTTCTGCTCTAGATATATCCAACTGTAAGTCCCTCCGCCCTCGAATTTCCTCAAATTAGGAAAAAGCCATTCTTATAGACGACCCGAGAACTAGTTTCAACAACTAGCCGCTGAGTAAGTGATACACGAGTAATAAACTACTCCGTACCCCCAACTAGAATCTCACACTTATAAAGGAATACGTTGTGCTACATGAGCCTTCCCCTTTGGCTGCCATAATACTGAAGAATACTAGGATCCCGTCTTTCTACCACAGAAATTTAAGCTCAACTAGGGTTGCCTGTGCCATTGTTGGAGCAGGCCAAGATCGCTTTATAGTTGTTAGTGTTTGTTTTGCAATAAATAATGACCTTGTTCAACTAGATACCATACTGGATGCCCTCCCGAATGAACAGATTATAATCGGAGGTGACATCAACGCTCACTCCCAGCTGTGGGACGATCCTGACAATGATGATTGTGCAGATGAGTTCTTGTCAACTCAAGGGGACTACACGTTATTAATGACCCAGGGTCCCTGCCCACTTTTGAAGCCACAATTGACAAGAGCTAGGTGGATGTTACCTGTTGCAACGGCCGGGCACTTAGGAAAATTACTGGCTGGAAGGTTTCTGGAAAATCTAGTCTTAGTGACCATGCCTATATATTCTATCAGCTTGGAACGCAGTGCCAAATTGAACAAACATCTGAGAAATACGATACCAAGAGAGGCAACTGGACTTTGTTTCAGGTGGCGTTGGTGGAGGGAGTAAATAACCTCCAACTTACTGATATAAACAGTCATATTGCGGCCTAAAACAAAGTCAACACTTTCAATGATCTACTAGAAGAGGTATGCAATAAGTATATCCCTAAGAGCTCTCTGCCCTTAGGAGTGAGAATAATTGCCTTAGGCAGAGGTACCAAAGAGCTAGGGATGTAAGTGAGAGGAGTACAAAGTATGAACAGTACCAGCAGCATGAAAGATGGTATAAAGCAGCCATAAAAGACACAAAACTGTCTTCATGGAAGGAGTTTTGTATTTTGTACAGAAATCTCCAATAAACCTTGGAGCTACATATACAAAAGCTGCACAAATAAGTTGAAAGCACCTGGCCTTCTTAGGAGTGTGAGAACAACTGATGGATATACTGCAGACGCAGACAGTACAATTCATGCACTAATGGATCTGTTCTTTCCAGCAGACTTACCAGAGGAAGATCTTCCCAAGCATAAAAGAGTGCGAAGTGAAATAAACACAGAGTACCAAATGGATAACGCACCCAACTTCACTTATGCCAAAGTCGAAGATGTCTTAAAAGGGGGAGAGCCCCAGGAATAGATGGACTAACAACTGAAATTATTCAAAAAATCTGGTCTATGATCTCAGGGGACATCCTCAGAGTCTTCAATGTTTGTCCAGAACATGGAATTTTCCCAGATAAATGGAAGAAAGCAAAGCTTGTTATCATAACTAAAAGTCCAGATGCTGATAGAGCAGAACCTGGGAGTTATAGGCCTATAAACCTACTCCCAGTGATGGGCAAGATTTTGGATTATCTTATAGTGCAAAGGCTAACTTATAAAGTGGTTAAGGAACAAGCCCTTAGCCCTAAACAATATATGGCTTTTTGCCAGCAAAGTCCACTGAAGATGTTATCAACTTGGTAGTGAATGATGGCAAATAGACCATAAGAGAGTACAAGTATTGTTGCCTGCTGAGCCTCGACATCAGAGGAGCATTTGATCATGCCTGGTGGTCCCAAGTCCTTTACAATCTCTGGCTCAGTGTCCAAAGAATATATAAAGGCTTATAGAAAGCTATTTTACAAACAGAACTGTCAGTTACATTAACAGTGGCATTAACATTACTCAGACCATGAACAGAGGACGCCCTCAAGGGTCTAACTCTGGGTCGCTTTTTTGGAACCTACTTTACAATAGTTTCTTGCTTCATGAAAAGGATGCAATAGAATATGCATATGCTGATNATTTAAATTTATATATTCTATTTTAGAACACCATTGTTCTAATTTTCTCATTTAACCTGAGGATGGCTATTGAATAGGCTGAAAACATTAGTTTAGCTTTAAATAAATTATCTCATTAGAAATATTTTGATGGTCTATTAATTATTTGCTGAGTGAGTTTTTGTTAATTACCAATATTATTCATATGTCACACAGCTTAAATCAAAAAGTCACTGTGCATCTATATTGCAAATGACAGTACAGATGCTTAGCAAGTTTTTGACTATCCTCTGATAAAGATATCTTACACTTTTTGGATGAAATAGCAAATTTTGACAAAAAGTGATGCTTCTCAATTATAAAATATTGTAATTTTGAATTTTATGCTATGTAAAAAACAGTATATTAATTCTGAGAAATTTGAAATTGAAATAAATACATTTGCTTTTGAACAACATAACTAAATCTCTGTAATACATTATTAATTCTGCATTGCTGTAGACATTCCAATTTCTTAAATGTATTAGATAGAGTTATAGAGTTGTTAAATAGGATTTAACAATTTGGAGGGCTTATAATTATAACACTAAAGTTAACCAATACAAAGGAATATCTAATATATACAGTGCACTGTATTTACAATTTTTAATATAATCCATATACTAAAGAACTAAAACTATTGAGCATAAAATTTTCCAAGTGTTATAATTACTATGTTGGTGCCATCTGTTTGTAAGCTGACGAGGGGTCCTTGTACCCGAAATGCATCCTTACCTAAATTTGAAATGTAATTATTAAAGACAAACTTTTTATAAAAGGTCTGGTCCTTCTTTTTGTCGGCCTTAGTGTGATAAGCCCTCCAAATTGTTAAATCCTATTTATTAGGTTATCTAACTCTATCTAATTCATAGTCGTGGGCTAAAAGCATCATTTATTATTATTCTTAAATGTGTTTATAATTTTTGATTGTTTGTGTGTAACTGTAAGTGGCCAAAAACTATTAAAACTATTAAATTGTTGGCCATGTTAAACTTATTATTAATTTTACTTAAGATTTATTTTATGTTAGTTAATTCATTCAAAACCTACATATATTCGATTTTAAATTTTGAACGTGTTCAGGTAAAGTTGTTTGTTAGCTACTGTTTTAAAAACAGATAAATAAATAAATATTTAGTAATAAAACAGTTTCTCTCTTCATTTTCAGTAAATTTATCAGAGGAACATTGAATATAAAACAACTATTTTATCTAATTTTAGAAAATACAAAAATATAGAAAAACAGTGTGTAATTATCATTATTATCAGTTTCAGTTATCAGCAATTTCAATCAGTATCTGCACATAAAAATATGTTCATAAATACTTTGGACTGCTGAAGATTTGATGACCATGATACTTCTGGACTAAGACGATTAGGACTCGAACTGTTACTACTTGATGATGCACTGGAACTGAGTAATAATCCTCCGTTGATATGATGAGGGGAAGAACAGCCTCCAGCTAATTAAAAATAAAGCAAATTATAAATTAAATTTTAAATAAATAAAATTTAATTATAAATTATTTAAAATAATAACAAACTATAATTTTTATTAAAAGCTACTCTACAATAAAAAAAATTTAATTAAAACAGTCATTCAAAATATATGCAATTTTTTTTTTATCAGATAATTTCAGATTTTAATCATTTCATTCTCAGTAAAATAAGTTACTGAAAGCATTTATGAATTAAACCTAATAGTTCTAAAATTTTTGCCAGGCTGAAAGAAATATACACCACCACCTTCAACAGAAGTTTAATTAACCAAAATATAGACAAATATTTTCGATCTATGAATACATCAAATACATTTATATATATATATATACAAATATATGAAGACATACATTTACAAAATAATATATATGAAAGTTAAGCAACTACATAAACAATATTTAAAAACAAAAGTACATGCACTTTTATAACATATGCAGATATGAAATATAGAGATTGAGTGCACTTGAATAGATGTAGGACACTGTCATGCACACAAACCCTTACTTTATCTTTGAAATTAACGCAAATCTTTTTTCCAGCTTTGAAAATCTGATAGGCTTCAAGAGCCCTAATATGGTCAGGATGTTGGGAGCTTCTGATGAGGAAAGCTTCTTGTAGGTTGGCTAACACATCCTCCTTGAGACATACATGGCCAAAATGGTGGTATACTTTCTTATTAACTATTTTATGTGTATGAACAACCCACAAAAAAACCTTTTTTTTTTACGAGTGTTATGTCACTAGTAAATTCCACAAGTACTTTCGACCTCCACTGAGGTCTGCTTCAGGTGGTGACTGGCCGTGTTTCGACCCGACCGTCGTAACGATGTTGCCAACGATGTAAATATATAAACGTGCGCGTAGGGTTTCACCCCTCCGACCGCCGTTGCTCGAACTCCTCGAATAAATACCTCCACGCCTGTGCAAGTGTTTCCCCATCCCTGTAGTTGATGCAGTTGCCCCCCATGATAGCTTTGTGAATCTCCCAGGTCTCCAGGTGCCGGATGTGATCAGCGCGGAACGCGGGTCTGATAAGTTTGGTGTTCCGGAAGTCCGCCCTTATTTCAGGGTCCGTGACATAGGTCGATAAGGCAGTGGTGTGTCTTTTATGCTTAATGTCAGCTTGGTGTTCACGTATTCGTTTCTGTGTTGATCGGATGGTGGAGCCAATGTAAACTAAGTCTCTATTGAATCTGTCATCCCGTACGGGAATGGAGTAAACACCTGGGGCCCTGGAGAGATCCATTGCGTCTTTCGCGTTGCGCAGCAAGTCGTAAAGCGTGCCGGTTCTTAACTAAGCGATTTTGGTGCGGCTTGTTATTATTCAACGTAGTGTTAAGTTGTTGGAAGTCGTTTACCTTTTATGTGTATGTTTGGCCAGTCTCTCATTTAGGGAATATTTGGTAGAACCAATATATAAAGGTTATTTCTATATTGAAGCTATTAAATTTTGATGATTAAAAGTCATGGAAGTGAAAGAGAGAAGAGAGTATATGCTATATCTCAAGTGGGGTTAAACTCATTTACTCATTATACACATTTGTCAAATATCTGAGAAATATTATACATATTATACACATTTTACAATTTTTTTAAAACTCATATCTACCTCAAAAATAAGATTTTGCATTTTTATAATAATTAATAATATAAAATAATTTTTTAATAAAATCTCATAACAGATGGTGACATAAACAATTTTAACTTTGTGCCATATTCTTAATAATTTTTAAACTTAAATAATATTCTTATTTAAAATTAGAGATATTTCTCAAAACATCTTTCTCAGATATTTGACAAAATTACTCCTTTTAAGCTTCTATTATTGTTTATATTCTATACTTCCCTATTAATTGAAAAATCTGAAAGTGCTTCAATAACACTCAATTTTGTTATTAATTTATGAAGCATTAATATTCTTTTAAATGTTATATAATTTTAAACTAAATAATCCATTTTGCATACTATTTATCTCAAACATCAAAATTAAAATGCAATAATAAATAAAATCAATAAAAATAAATAAGACAAAATGTAAACAGAAATAATATTAAACTTACATAATCTTTTTGCATATTAACAAAACACTTAAATTATTATATAAAAGTGTGGTATAATTATTTTTATTAAATAACATTAAAAATGCAAATTCACAAATGTGTATACATAGAGAGTACTGTACAATAATCAATGTGTAAATTTAATAATAACCATCCTAATAACTGACATAGGAAGTTGTCAGACTGATTACTATTAAATTTTTGAAAGCTGAAAAATCACTAATTTTGTAATAATTTATGCTTTTATAGTAAACTGTTGCTTGAAAAAATAAAATAAATGTATTTATTAAACAAGCCTGTCTAATATTCAAAGCACAATACTGTTGAAATCAGAAAGCAAAATTACACTGTTTCCAAAAAATTGCCATGTGTTATAATCCAATCCTATCAGTTTGATAATGTATGATAGAAATATATAGAAACAAAATCCAAATTATACTACTAATGATTAAATGATATATGTGTAACTGGATTAACTAGTGGCTTAGCTAATTAATACAGATATTGTATTATGTTATTTGGACTAAAGATAGGCAATTATACTGCTATTGTGTATTAACTTTAATAGTTAAAAAATAAATGAACTTCATTTAGAATATTTAAAAAGAAAAAAAGATCAACCCAAAGCGAGTATCAAACATGCAAATTCTGTTCACCATGCAGATAAATTATCAATTACATTACGTGTGAAAGCTGCATGTTTCAGATCCATTCCAAATCAACCTTTACTTGCAGAATAGTCGAATGTACTTAATATATATTTCTCATTATTAAATTTAGCACAAGATAGCAACATAACCACTACTTTTAATCCAAATTACTAATAATAATTGTATAATTAATTAGTCAAGTTCTAGTCCAATAGTTAATCTGACTCTAATTTTCATTGTTAGTATGAAAAAAATATTGAGATTGCCATCATAAACTTAAATGTTTGGAAATAGAATAATAAGTCAGTCATATTAGCATTGCTTTTGTTATAAAAAAAGTTATAAACTGACCATCATTTATCAGCATATGTCATTTACAAATTTTAAATAAAATGCATGTTTTGAGCATGATTAACCTTAATCTACAGTTTTATAATTTAAATTTTCTTTTACATTCAATGCTTAAGAAGTTAGCAATTACTTGACTTTCAAAAATTAGATCAACATCAATTAAGTGATGATTTACTGAATTTAATAAAATTTATTCAAAGACAGATACTATTACTTCTGAATTTGCATTTCTCTAATTATTATTGAGCATTAAAAAGAATTTAATTTTGATATATTTTTATTCGTTGTAGATCAGCATCAAATTTTCATAGTAGTATCAGGTCTTACAACTATTAATATACAGGGTGAATCAAAAGTAGGTGGACAGTAGGTAGAGTAAGGTTTGTGTTAGGGTTAAACTATAACAATGATGTATATTTAACTCGGTTATGGTTATGGTTTAAAAATTACATCAGAGATGCATTTCAAGAAATTAATACACAAAGATAATTATGCAAAAATGTTTGTTGAAGCATAAAATGGTAAAATATAGACTTCAAAGCTGTGTAAATTGTAATGGACAGCAGTTTGAATACCTGCATTGATAAAATTGTATTGTATTAGTAAATATAATTGTATATGTAATTTCAATAAATGTCCACCTACTTTTGGTTCCTCTTGTATGTGACTGTTTAATGACTGTACAATAAAATATAATCTATATATAAAACACAGTAATAATTTTATAATGAAAATATATGATGCAAAATAACTTTTAACTATGTACCCATACATAAAAATTATTATTAATAAACATACCAATGCTATGGGAATCAGTAGTTCCTTCATATTTATCGTCATCTTTTTCTTGCTTAGACTGAATAATATCATTTTCTATTGTATGATCTAACTGTGATTGTATTTCTGACCCAAGTTCTGTAGAAAAGACAGCAGACTGAGAAGTGGGTGGTTCTATGACAATCTGTGGAGCTGAAGACTTATTATAACTACCTGTAGCTTGATTATAAGCTGTAAGACTTGAAAGCTGAAAATTTAATTTAATAAAAATGAAATCATTATCAACAAATTAAAAAAATAAATAAACTTGTTTCGAAAACGTTATTAAGAAATTTCACATAATACACAGTCATCATTCATTCCATGTTTCTAAATGGAATGTAGTTTATTTTTGTGTTTTGTTCATAATTATCCAGTTTTTGAGTTATATATGACAATACAATTATATCAGTATGATATGCAGTGAAATAGCAAGATCAACGATTTAATAAACTTGATAGCATTAGTTTTTAACAATTAAAACAAACATTTTACAACACTCCAGCAAAAATTTAATGTACCAACAAGGTTTTCAATCCAGCTTGATGGATATTCAGTTTCTTAAACAGAATACAAAAAAAGAATATAATAAATAACAAGATTTATATACAAGGCAGAAGTGTTCCCATGGATAATCCCATTTCAGGGACTGTGTGTTAACTCATGACGTTTAGAAAAAAATAGTTACAACTTTTCAGCACCAAATCAACACTCAATATGTCAACAATATCTTCACATTTTGATGCATCAAACTTAATATGCAATACTTTCTCCAAAGAATTAATAACAATCCATGGACTTTGTTCTAATTGTAGTTGAACGGACTTTGACTACAATTATAATAATAAACCACACAGAAGTTCATTTTTTGGACATCGACATCACTTTAAAAAGATTGCCACATCGCCATATATCAGGAACCTAGATACCACCCTACTTTCATTCCACACATTTCAACTGACCACTTTGAAATAAAGCAATCTGCCTTCTGATCCTTAATAAGAAGAGTGTTTGTACACTGCACAAATATACATATCTTAAAGAAGTTTAATTATGTTAAGAAAGGGTGTTCCAATATGGATATTGTAACAAATTGATAAATATTAGAATGTTTTCCTGTCTCCCATAGGATATACAAGGAGATTGTGCACTTCAACAATTTGAGCTTCACCTATAAGCTTAATCCAGTGGTACATGGGCTATTACACAATGATAGAAACCCACATGATGTTTACAGTTCAAGCATTTATTCTATACATATACAGGACCACTCACTCAACACAATGTTGAAATGCATTGGTGAAACCACGCAGAACATCAATAGTAGAGAAGGAACATATATGGATTGTGAAGAAAGATCTACAAACACTGCTCTAGTGGCATATACTAAGTAATCTAGTGCAGAGAATATTTGGGACAACTCTACAATCATAAGAAAGCAAATGGCAAGGTTAGCTTAAAGCATTTGGAAATCCTTGAAATTTACAAAGTACACAAAGAGCAAAGATGTGTTAATGTCTGGGATGCAAATCCATTGTATACTGCTTGGAAATCTTTATATGAAACATAACATCATACAACATCTAACATGTTTAATTAGCAAGCTGAATAAGGCGTACATTTAAGTATTTTTAGGTATTTTAAATCTTCTGAAACTGTGTTTCTTAATTTCTTTAATACACTAACACTATGTGTGTTTCTATTTCAACTGCCAAGTGTTAAAATAGAAACACAGCTAATGTTAGTAAATCAAAAAAATATTTTTAGGTAGTTTTGGTTCCATTTTCATCTCCAATTTTTGATTGTTTTAGAACTTTTATCTTTCAGTTACTCATTTAAATGGTACAGGTTCTGTTCTTTCAAATTTTTCCACATTCCACAAGGAGAGGTCAGGGCTGAAATTGGATGCCTTATGTGAGATCCGAATAGCCTGGGTCTAATTAACAATTTAAATATAAAGTTAAAATAATGAAGTAATATATTCTTTCCTTTCGGTGTGAAAATATCGTCTTTCTAATGTGGGAAAACTGATAAAAGAGCCACTTCCTTTAATAGAAGTAGACACATCCTTTTGTTTCCCACTTATCTATCACAAATCTCACCACCTTGGGAATTGTCAACCCCTCAATAATTCCCCTTTTCATCCGTTCATGTGAGTGAATACAAATAAGCTAATTGGTCACAAATCATGAGGTATAGTCAAAAATCTACATGATTTGAGAAGTACGTCTGAAGAACTCATAGGGAAAGGAGGTATCCCATATTTGCTCCATAAGGCCAATGCCCTTAGTTGTATCCAATCGAGTATAATAATGAGTTAATTTAGGAGAAAAGAAGAAACTTTTAATATTGTGCCAAATCAAGACCTCTCCATGAAGTGAAGTATGATCATAGAATACAGATGAACATAAAGACAAAGTAAACCTTGAGGTAGTATTGTTGTAAATGAATTTGTGAGCTCTCTCTTAGCGTATATTTTAATTGAATCCATATTTTCTCTCAATTGCTTGTTTGAATTATTTAATTATATCAATTTTGTATACTTTTGTTTATTATAGTTTATTAAATTCTTTTATTTGTGTGTTAAAGAAATGTCTCATCTTTGTCTGAATCAAATCCATATTATCTCCATACGCGTGTTAATCTGCGTATCTAAATTCGATTAACTGGTGTCGGGATCCTGACGTAGGAATGAAGAATTGTGAAATCCTTCAGTTCTGCTCTAGATATATCCAACTGTAAGTCCCTCCGCCCTCGAATTTCCTCAAATTAGGAAAAAGCCATTCTTATAGACGACCCGAGAACTAGTTTCAACAACTAGCCGCTGAGTAAGTGATACACGAGTAATAAACTACTCCGTACCCCCAACTAGAATCTCACACTTATAAAGGAATACGTTGTGCTACATGAGCCTTCCCCTTTGGCTGCCATAATACTGAAGAATACTAGGATCCCGTCTTTCTACCACAGAAATTTAAGCTCAACTAGGGTTGCCTGTGCCATTGTTGGAGCAGGCCAAGATCGCTTTATAGTTGTTAGTGTTTGTTTTGCAATAAATAATGACCTTGTTCAACTAGATACCATACTGGATGCCCTCCCGAATGAACAGATTATAATCGGAGGTGACATCAACGCTCACTCCCAGCTGTGGGACGATCCTGACAATGATGATTGTGCAGATGAGTTCTTGTCAACTCAAGGGGACTACACGTTATTAATGACCCAGGGTCCCTGCCCACTTTTGAAGCCACAATTGACAAGAGCTAGGTGGATGTTACCTGTTGCAACGGCCGGGCACTTAGGAAAATTACTGGCTGGAAGGTTTCTGGAAAATCTAGTCTTAGTGACCATGCCTATATATTCTATCAGCTTGGAACGCAGTGCCAAATTGAACAAACATCTGAGAAATACGATACCAAGAGAGGCAACTGGACTTTGTTTCAGGTGGCGTTGGTGGAGGGAGTAAATAACCTCCAACTTACTGATATAAACAGTCATATTGCAGCCTAAAACAAAGTCAACACTTTCAATGATCTACTAGAAGAGGTATGCAATAAGTATATCCCTAAGAGCTCTCTGCCCTTAGGAGTGAGAATAATTGCCTTAGGCAGAGGTACCAAAGAGCTAGGGATGTAAGTGAGAGGAGTACAAAGTATGAACAGTACCAGCAGCATGAAAGATGGTATAAAGCAGCCATAAAAGACACAAAACTGTCTTCATGGAAGGAGTTTTGTATTTTGTACAGAAATCTCCAATAAACCTTGGAGCTACATATACAAAAGCTGCACAAATAAGTTGAAAGCACCTGGCCTTCTTAGGAGTGTGAGAACAACTGATGGATATACTGCAGACGCAGGCAGTACAATTCATGCACTAATGGATCTGTTCTTTCCAGCAGACTTACCAGAGGAAGATCTTCCCAAGCATAAAAGAGTGCGAAGTGAAATAAACACAGAGTACCAAATGGATAACGCACCCAACTTCACTTATGCCAAAGTCGAAGATGTCTTAAAAGGGGGAGAGCCCCAGGAATAGATGGACTAACAACTGAAATTATTCAAAAAATCTGGTCTATGATCTCAGGGGACATCCTCAGAGTCTTCAATGTTTGTCCAGAACATGGAATTTTCCCAGATAAATGGAAGAAAGCAAAGCTTGTTATCATAACTAAAAGTCCAGATGCTGATAGAGCAGAACCTGGGAGTTATAGGCCTATAAACCTACTCCCAGTGATGGGCAAGATTTTGGATTATCTTATAGTGCAAAGGCTAACTTATAAAGTGGTTAAGGAACAAGCCCTTAGCCCTAAACAATATATGGCTTTTTGCCAGCAAAGTCCACTGAAGATGTTATCAACTTGGTAGTGAATGATGGCAAATAGACCATAAGAGAGTACAAGTATTGTTGCCTGCTGAGCCTCGACATCAGAGGAGCATTTGATCATGCCTGGTGGTCCCAAGTCCTTTACAATCTCTGGCTCAGTGTCCAAAGAATATATAAAGGCTTATAGAAAGCTATTTTACAAACAGAACTGTCAGTTACATTAACAGTGGCATTAACATTACTCAGACCATGAACAGAGGACGCCCTCAAGGGTCTAACTCTGGGTCGCTTTTTTGGAACCTACTTTACAATAGTTTCTTGCTTCATGAAAAGGATGCAATAGAATATGCATATGCTGATGACACCATTCTTCTATTTGGGGCCCACTCTCAGCAAGAGATCGAGACTAAAGAAACTAACCTTCTTACAGAGATTGTAGCTATTGGAGAGAAGTACAAGCTAGAGTTCAACCCCAAGAAAACCCAAGGAATTATATTCCATAGGACAGGCGAGACAGATCTATATAAACAAGTGCCAACCATAAAGATGAACAGTGAGTCTATTAAGATAGTGCCATCAACGAGGTATCTAGATGTTATTCTAGATAAGAACCTCAATTGGAATGATCATATCCAAATGTTAAAAACCAGAAGCAATTTCATATTCTACAATTTAGCAAAAGTTGATAAGGCAAACTCGGGATTGGATTCTGAAGCAGTGAAACAGATCTATGAGGTGGTGATTATCCCAAAAGTAACCTATGCAGCAGCTGCGTGGCACGCGGCTGCAGACAAGGTTCAGAATAAAAGAACACTTGTCCACTCAAAGAAGTGCTATCATTTGAATAGCAAAAACATTTCAGACTATATCAACAGAGACCCTACTTGTTATCTGTGGGGTACCTCCTATAGACTTAGTGATACAAGAAAAGGCTCAAAACTATAAAATTCGGAAAGGTCTAACAATTAGAATGGGTGGCACCATCTTCCGGCTGGCTCCTACTGGACTAAAACAAACATGAAAGATCTTCCTAGCCAATCAGAAAGGATTAGGATAAAACAGCAACTGCACACCAGGTTGTGTAAAATAAATAAGACCTACTTGAACCTTTAACTGATGTGTATAGAAATTAATCTTTCCAATACGAACGTTTTCTTAACCCCTTCTGGGCTCTTCTTCAGGTGAAATAGCTGGATCGAACATCAAATGAAAAAATTTGAATAAATCCAAACGCTGCTGAGTTTGAATCGCACGGTTCGTTCATTTATTTGGTCATGTGATATGTTTGAAAGTGTTCGAAGATAATAATAAATGTCCATATTCAAGAGAAAGATATTATTAGGATATTTAAAAAATGTGCCATTGAGATACACAATTATCCAATAATGTTCTCACATGTTCCCCAGTACCTTTTATTTTATTTTATTTTTTAACACTTAATAAATAGTATACCATTGTTACTCTGTATGTAGTGTGTTTTGCCATGCCATGGAAAGGTCAATTTCGTCTCTTGAATTAACACACGTGGATGTGTCGTATGCCTTAAAAATTTCCATATCTTCCAACCACTTTAGGTGATGAATATGGGGTGTGGTGACAATTATACGCACTCTATTGAAGTCCGCCACAATTTCGGGATCCATGGCGTAGGTGGAGAGTGAGGTGGTGTGTCTGTTGCGTTGTATATCCGAGATAAGCTCTTTTATCCTAACCCCTAACAAACGTTTAGTCGATCCTACATATACTAGATCCCTGTTAAACCGGATTAGGATATGGGTAGGAGCAGAGGATAGCCAAGCAGACATTGAAATTCTCTCACTGCTAGACGTCAACGTCTAGGAGCGAGAGAGAAGTAGGGCGGCCTTTGTTGTCTATGCAGACAACTTGGAAGTCACTATGGAACAATATAAGCTTGATGATAGATGTTTGGCCTTTCAGGCCGAGCTGTTGGCTATGAAGAAAGCAGTGGAGTACTTCGACCATAAGATTTAAATGGGTGCAAGCCCATATTAAAACCGTGGGAAACTAATGAGCGAATCAGTTGGCCAAAGAGGCGGTCAACAAAAAGCAGATAGACTTTGATGAATTGCCTGCCACTTATATTAAAATGGTGGTTTAATTAAGGAAAGCATCCAGAAAAGGTGGCAAACTAGATGGAACAAATCCACAAAGGGAAGGTACACCCACCACTTACTACTGAATATTAAAGAAAGGCTCTCTGACCTCTGCTGGATGCCTAATAACTATTACTTTACCCAACTTATATCGGGACATGTCAATTGCATGTCCTACTTTAGAAGAACTAACAAAAGTGAATCAAAGGAATGTGAGTGTGGAGAGGAGTGCCTTCTACTGCAGTGCACGAAATTCGCTGTCCTCCAACTTGAAATAACTTGTGTGTATTATGGGGTAAACCCCAACATCAACATGAACATGTATAACTTTTGTCCTAATTAAGTTATACAAGTTCATGTCGATGTTGGGGACAGTCATGCCCGAATTGAACAGGCTCATTCAGGCTCTCTTTAAAAGAGAATTAAACTACACCAGGAGATAAGACTCCCAAAGATGATGGTGGCAAGACACCATCTGTGGTTCTGTTGTCAACAAGAAATGCACCAATGTACTTAATTGTAAGCTACTATTATTTATATTTAGTTTGTAAGTCTCTATTTGTTTTGATGTATAAATATAGATAGAAATAAAGAATAGAAACCCTCCGTAATGCTCTGCGGAACAGAGGGGTACTCTGATCCTCGAAAGGGGAAATGATGAATTTCCTAAACAAAATATAAAAAAAAAGGTACAGACTCAAATAAAAAAAATATTTGTGTTTTTCAAATAAAGTTTTGTTTGTCTCCTTTATAATAAATGAATTTATCTATTTCTAAGTAAAAATTGAAAGTGTCTGTAGAAGTAATTTTTTAAAATATTCTTTTTTGTGATAAAGTTTTAATACTTATTACTATAATCTAGACATGTTAATCCTTAAATATACTTGTATATGATTAGGCCACAATATACTTGGGCCACAAGTATATATAATATACTTGTGGCCCAAAACTCCATGACTTCTTCCAATGCAGCCCAGAGAAACAAAAAAGTTGGACACCCCTGCTATAGAAGGAAAAAAGAAAGGAATAATGATTAATGTGATATTACAGTGATAAATAACATATGTTATGCTGATAATATCTTCTAATGGCAAATAGTTTAAATGACATTCAGCTATTCTTACATTTAGTAAAAGAAAAAAAAAGCAGGGACATGAGTATGAGCATAAATATAAACAAAACTAAATATATAATGATAAGTAGCAACAAGATTAATTCATCTAAGCTAACACTTAGGGATTATACAATTAAGTACTTTTAAGTACTTGAAATGCTGGATTAATGAACAAGTCAATGAAATGGAAGTGAGAACCATAATTGAAATTGCTTGGTGGAATTTTACAAAAATAAAATCTTTGCTCTGCAATTGCAAATTGGACTCTGAAATTAGGTTCCAAATGATGAAATGTTATATATGGTTTACATTTTTATGTAGAGTAAAAATTTAGACATTAAAGGAGATGATTAGCATTAGAGATGTAGACATACAGACAAATGCTATGTATCCCATGGACAGCTAAAATGAGAAATGAGGTATTTATGGAAAAGATAAAGAGAACTAATTGATATTATTAAATGAAGATAAACAGTTTATCTAGAACATCTAATGAGAAACACCAAGTATCACATTCTTGAACTGAGCCTGGAAGGGAAAATAGAAGGAAAGGAAAGAAGAGAAAGACCAAGATTGTCTTAGCTAGACAACATCAAAGCATGGACGGGTCTTAACATGAAACAACTAATAAAAACAGCTGGAGACCGGGAGAAGTTTGCAGAGATGGTTGCTGAACTCTAAATGGAAATAGCACACTAATAATGTTAAATAAGATCTTCCAAATAATTTCTTATTAGAATAGTTTGAGTAATAATTTACGGAACATATCAAATTACAAAACCTTCAAAAAACAATGTAAAAAAACTTTAAGTTACAGTAATTGTTATTAATTAATCTAAATGGATTTGAAAAATAATGTAAATTATTATTTATTATTATTTTTTTCAGCTCACATCTTGTTTATTGTTTAGCTAAACTCTCTTTTTGTTTTATTTGTTGATCTTGGTCTAAGATGCTTGAAAAAGGCCTAACTGGCCACAATGTCATTTTGAAAATAAATAAATAAAATAAAATAAGAATACTGTTGTATTTTTTGGTTTGCAAATGTTTTTAATACTAAGAGAACATTAACATGTTAGAACAATGCCATATCTTTTTCACATTCTTTTACTATTGGTGTTTATGATTCCTTGGTGTATTTTGTTTAGTTTACTAAAATTTTGATAAAACTTAAACAGAGCTCTGCAAATTCACAAACTGCAGAAAATATATATGTTAAAATATTCAATATTCAAATACAAATGTGACAGCTTTAGTCCAGCCTGTAAATCAAGAAGTGATACAAAATATGAAACAAATTTATTGAAAAAATTTACTTTTGAAATGTTCTTAAAAAGTGGTAAGATTACTGTCATTTTGAAAAACATGACTATTTTGAATGTTGTTAATGGAATTGTTGCTGCTTGAAAATCAATAAAAGTTTGACATTAATTAAAAAGACTGAGGCAAATATGTTACCAGGAAATGAAGAATTTCTGAATTTTTAGAACAGTCTTAATAAGAGTATAGTAAAGAAGTATTGAACAATTTACACAGTTTAAGTGGATGTGCAAATAATGAGAAGTCAGTGTTTAATTGGGTAAACACATATAGAGATTTACTTGGTCAATAAGTATCAAATGGCAAACAAAGTATAATGAATTATGACTAATGGTAAAGCAGCCACCACCAATACTGAATTGATAAACATAGATGATGTGGATACTGAACACAGCCTCATGAAAGAAATGAATCAGCCACAGTAATGAACTACAAACCCATATAAAGCCCTATTAGATAATTTGGAACAAGACTATGCTCTTGCTGAAAAACCAATGATAAAAACATGTGGAGTACAGTTTTCCAAAAGGTACATGAAGGAAAAAAGCAAACATATGTCTTCATGTTTTAAATGGTTTAAAAAGTATTGAAATAGTTAAATTCATTCTTTCAAAAAGTTTTGATTTTTTTTTTTATTTCCTTCCACACGCTGTTGTATTCCTGTGTTAACCTTACTGATTTTAAATGAAAGTTTTTGCACATTACCTAAATATTTTATTTTTGTTTCATCCATTCCAACTTACTGGCTACAGCATTTAAATGATGCCAAATTAACCAAGATGGCATTTTTTTCCACTCATCCAAGATAATCAAGAGTGTACTATACAAGTATAGTTTCTATTTATATTTTTGTTATATTTTAAACAAAACAATATCAAACAAATTTATACAGAAAAAAAATTTTCATCTTTTTTATAATGTATATCTGTTTAAACATTAGAACTAATAACAACTTTATTAAAAATTGCACAGAAAAATATTATATTTACCTCACTCTCAGCAGTTTCGGATGCAAATCTTGCACTATTAGTTGATGGTTGAGGAAAAGGATCTTCTCCATCAGGTGACATAATTGAATTGGAAGATGATGGTTTTAATGACTCATTCTTTAGACAAGCTAAAAATTAAAATTTATAAATTTATAAATGAAAAAATGCACCATCAACAACTTAAAAGAAATGAAATAATTACATAAACAAACACCTGAAACCAAAACAAGTTAACAAAACAGTATTTTTACTGTATTGTCTGTCTGTAACATGGTCAATATAATTTTAAAGAAAATATGTAATTTTTTTGAAAAATTGTATTCAATTTTAATTTGTCCATTTAGTTCTGCATTATATTATAAGAAAATATGTAATTTTTTTGAAAAATTGTATTCAATTTTAATTTGTCCATTTAGTTCTGTATTATACCTGAAGATGTCTGTTACAAACAAATGAAAACATTAGTAAAAATACTAATTTAAGTTATTTTTGCTGGTTTTGAGTATTTGTCTTCATTTACAAAATATATTCCAGTTTTGGAGTGTAATTAAAATAATTACTTTACCAGAGTTTAACATAAAAACAAAAATATTTTTGCGCTAGTCACCAATCTTCAGACAAAAACAATATAAAAGATTAGAATGTGAAGCACTGTTATCATAGTAATTGAATAAAATCCAGAATAACTACAGTCAAACCAAGTTAAAAAGAATAAGGATATAATGAGTCCACGGTTAAAATGAGCAAAATGCGATAACAATTTTAATTTGCACATATCTCCATATATTTTCTCATACTCATAACGAGCATACTTCATGGATAGGATATACCAAGCAAACATTTGGTAGCTATGCAAACATTCTTAATTGTTCTAGTAGTAAAAAATGCAGTTTCAAATTCTTGGAAGAAATAAAACTGAAAGGGTTACTTACTTTTATGACTAGTGGATAATTAGTTTTATGACCTGCATAGATTACAGGCCTATTTATAATTTAACTTTCTTTTTGGAGACTGTCCCTCTCTTTCTTCACTTGCTTCTAACTCTGCTTTGCCAATTTATCTAATCATCACTACAATTGTAAAAATACCATACACTGTAGTTAGAAATGAACCATTCCTTGAGAAAAATGTCAATGAAAAAAAAGCCTCTTGGTTTACAAAAAAGTAGAAATGACTTGAAAGTTAGAACATGGTGCTAAAAATGTCAAAGTGTGTAGAAAGGTTTCTTTGTCTTCTTCAACAGTATCAACATATGGAAAAATTATGGAAAAATAAAGCAATCATAAATTTTAAGATTTGTAGACAAAAAATCTAAAATTGGATGTATTATTAATTAGCATTATTTTTAATTACAAAAAAGTAAATTGTTTAATATTAATTATATTGTAGTTCTTATATTGTATATAATTATATTGTAATTACATTATACTGTATTATTAAAAATACAGTATAATGGATTAATTACAAGGGGAGTATGGAGTAATGGAGTAATTACGAGGGGTGTCCGATATTAAAAGTACAAGCCAAAATTACACTAAAATATTTAATACATTCCACAAAAAATTACATACGTACTTTTGTTTATTTTTTGACATAATCCTGTAAGCATTGAGCATTATCCTTTCCCTTCGTGACCCCCAAGTTCTCTGAATTCTTGAGAATCGCAGATGTGGAGTAAAGTTAATGGGGGAGGAGTGCTAATGAGTAGCAGATTTTAAACTCTGCTTAAAAGTGACTTTAATCATCAGCACAGAAATTCACCACTAAGAGCAGTACTAATATTCATTCCTTACATTTGATTTTGAGTGTGACAGTCGTTCATTTCTGTTCGCAATCAGTTTGTTATAATCGTATATCATAATTCATAATTTGTTTGCAGAGGTAAGATTATTATTATTATTTGGTTATTTTGTATGCACAAATGTTTATATGCATAATTTCTCAATTAATAACACTTAAATATTTGATTATTTAAGCCATGGCATCAAAACAAAATTTAAAACCATTACCCATGATAGACAGTCAATTTACGGAAGAAGAGCTTAAAGAGATATTCGTATTTGAATATGATAATGGAAAGAAAAAATCAGTTACATGCAAAATGGAACCATCTTACACATAACTGATTTATTTCTTTCCATTTTTTCTTTACAATATGTTCACATTGTAAATGGCAAATCAATACAATGCAACTTCAAGGCAAATGGAACTAGTGTGTCAAAAAAATTCAATCTTTGGCAGCATGTGAAGCATAATCATCCTGAAATTTACAAAGGGTTAGTTAAAAAGAAGTATCAACAAGATGAAGTCGCTGTAAAAAGAAAATGTAATCATGACAATTTTACTATATCAAGGTGGCCTTTAACCAAACGAAGGTCATCCTCACTTTGCCTCACACTGAACACCTGAGATGGTTAGAGGCCATTTCCATATATAAATCTAGTCTCACTGCCATTTGCATCAATCACAAGGAAGAGTTGAATTTGTTGGTTGCATGGCAGGTCCTGATGAACACCAATCTTTAAATGCCAACAGCTGCTACCCACACAAATGTGCATGTCCAGCAAAACAATTTTACGAGATACAGATTTGATTTAACATTCAAATCTTCGTGTTCTATTTACTCTGTGTTCCATCAGATATTCTGTGTATCATCTGAGGAAGAACTTTAATCGGTTCGAAAACGTTTGTGATGTACAGTACTTTATCCTTCTTGCAACTCACATCAGTAACAGGTTCAAAATATATTGTTAATTTTTTTTCTACATTTTCTTTCCATATTCTAAATATTATACATTAACTCATTCAATATAAATTATATCTTTATCTGCAGCATAGTTACTTTTGATTTCATTCAATTAATATGGCAACAGCACTCTACATTATAATCTTAATTTATACCACTCAAATGAAATTTATAAAAATTTACTAATTATGTGAAAATTCATGCACAAAAATGAAAATAAAACAAAATGCTTAACTTACTCTATAAATTAAAAACTAAATTAAGTAGGAATTAATATATTTCTTGTATAAAATCATAAATATTTGATAAACACTAAGTAGGTTGAAAAGTTGCTAAAAGCTAAACATCTAAACCAGGGCTTCTTAAACTTTTTTTATTCACGACACCATTTATGATTGTGATTTTTTTCGCGACCCAAAAATATAAAATAAAGATATATACAAATTTGCAAAAACAATAATGGTGTGCTACCACAGTTCACTCTTGTGTTACAATGGAACAGAGACAACTGAATACACTGAAAAGTGACAACACTACACTAGTTCACACTACAATCAGTGTTCCTGAATCATTGTCTTGCTGCACCAGAAATGACACAAAGCATGCCTCATTTTCAAACTCTCACAAATTATTTTCAAAATTTTGCATTAAAATCTCGCGACCCCAAGATTTCACTGTGACCCCAAATGGGGTCGTGACCCATAGTTTAAGAAGCCCTGATCTAAACTATTGTGAGAACCCAGGCTGGCATTTTGTAATTTAATTATTTTAATATGCAACCAAGGAAGCTCATAAGATTTTCTATTTGATAGCATTTCCTTCATAAGTGACACATTTTCCAACAAAACCTACTTATCAAAGAAAGAAAATTTCACCCAGAAAAAAAAATCAAAGATTAGACATCACCCAGCTGNACTGACCAACGCTAACAGACTACCTATTGTTTAAAAGGCCCTCTGGTGGCGCAAGAAGACGGATTTTATAAAATAAAATGCAGTTGATACTGCATTTTTATGAATAAAAATTTGACAAACAATTTATCATTTTATGACGAGTAAAATTTTTTCGTCGCGTTCGCGGCTTTTAAGTAATGCGTAAACCTTCGAGGCGCGAGGCCCTTCGAACCGCGAGGCATAGGCGGTGGCCCACGTCATCCATGCCTTACGCCGCCCTTGGTCATAGAAATGATATAATTTGAATATAAATTATTTATAAATACGTATGTCAAATTATATTTTTATTACTACGTAAAATATATTTAAGAGTTTACGACCACTGTGCTGGATGAGGCGTTGTTGAAACAAAAAAGTTATGCTTTCCATCACGTACATAAACTGTCGTAATTCGCCAATTGCAAATCAGCAAATTCGTAAAATTTTTGTTTATTTTGAACAATCCGGATAATCGAAAATCCGGATAATGGAGGTCCGGATAATGGAGGTTCTACTGTATTTATTTTTAAATTCTTAATGATGACTTGTTTTAATAAATGTTAAATATTAAATTTTATTATACTTTTATCTGAAGATTACATTTTACATTAAATGTTAAAATTTAGAAAATTCAATATTTCAAGAAACCAAAATGTATCCTTATGCAAACAAAAGTGAAATCAAAATATCTGTGACATTTATCCTAATTTTCTTAATACCAAAGATATTCAATTTTCACTAAACATTTATACTTAGTAGCAACCATAGAAATTATATAACCCCTAAAATATAAAAATGTTTTTAAACTTACTTCAGAATGGAAAGAAACCATAAATATTATATCATCCGTGACATCATAAACATGAGAACACTTTTTGTTGGATGATAGTGTCTACTGAAGCCATGTTTCTGATAATTGCATCATCACCCATAACTGCTCCAACTTTGATTTTGGATTTTATAAAACCTATAAGAAAGCAGTTTGCTGTTTTAAGCAAAATGGAAAGTTTTCAACAGTTAACACTGCATACAAAGTCTTTAATTGTTGCTTTGAATGCTGATTGTTTATCCTCTTGTAAAACAAAGTAGAGAGTGCACTGTCATCAATCAACGATTGTGCATTTGTTACAAAGATGTGAACATGGCTACACTAATGAATCAGAAGGTAACCATTTGAGTATGCCATGCCCAAGATAAAATGCTAAAAACTTTAGTCTGAAAAAAACATACTGTTAGTTCTTTCAAACTGAGAGTCAAGTAAAAAGAGCAAACAGGCATAAAGGCAATTGCACAAATTGTAATATCATCTGTGCAACAGGGGTTTAAAAGCCTACTATCTACATAAAAAAAACCATTATGAATGAGTAAAAAAAGCAAGCAAATCTGTTTTCTTCAGCTAAGTTCAAATTTAACCTGCTTGAATCTGGTAAACCTTATATTATGCTTAGAA